CACATGTGGGAAGGTTCCAGAGAAATATGGAGATTTCTCATGGAAGACCTTGAAACCCCGTGGAATTGCTCGGAAAGTCCTTAGAACATTCTAGTTATGTAGGAAATTCTAGTGAAAAGACTTACTTGTATATATTAAGAACTTGTGTAACAATTAATATTTACACACTAGCCCCTAGGAGACTAGTATATAAAGGGGGCCATTCATTGCTAATTCACCAAGCAAAACAATCAAATTCTCCCTAATACAAAAATTTCCTTTGACAATTCCCTTATGTTCTAACATTCTCTTAGCGATCTTGAGTGTGGTAAGGTTGTCTTGGCATAGCAGAAATGTGAGCAAATTGTGCAAAATCGTGAGCAAGTTGTCAAGTGCCGTATATGTACTTAGTTGACAACTAAGGACGTGACATTTATCTTTACTCTAACAAATGTGGAGAGAAATTGATATAAAAGTAAGAGTAGTAATAAGTTGAGATCAAAACATAAATAAGGAGAATATAATTAATGTTAATTACCCCCTCTGTTCTAATTTAAATGACACGCTTTTGTTATTAATCCGTTCAAAAAAATGACATATTTCTATATTTAGAAATAATTTAACTTTAAACTTTTTATTTTACTTACTTTACTCTTAATGTGAAACTTTTATAACCATATAAATATTATGACCCCATAAAACTTTTGCCCTTAAGCTTTTAGGATCACATATTTCAAAAGTCTTTTTTTTTTCTTTAAATTTTATGTCAAATCAAACTAAATCATCTAAATTGAAACGAAGAAAGCAGTATCTTTTAGGAGCCATAAACCAAACATGACAAGCAATTCGAAGGAGTATTTTCTTGGGAGAGTGTCTTATTCTTTTTCCTTTTTCCATAGTACGTTCTTGAGTTCTTTGCATTTTGCGCCTTAATGTAAATACCATTTTTTTTAATTTACATCCTATCCTCTTACTTTTTACAATTTCCCCATAATCTATTTATTTTCTAGCAAAACTAAATTAGAGATCATTTTATTAGGGATAAAATAGGAATTACATAGTACATAAGAAAGAAAAAGAGAGAGGAGAGTAGGAATGAAGGAGAAGAAGAAGCGAAGGTAATAAAAAAAGAGACGAACAACTACTGCCTATTTCATTGTACCATCAGCTTGTAAAATAAGATCACCATGTTCATATATTTTCTCTTTACAATCCAAACTAAACATAAGAATGTTCCTTTAATGCAGATTAGATTATTTATGTACGGTAGATGAGATCTGGGGGTGTACGTAGGTATGATTAGTTTGAATTTTTCAATTACCAAATCAATAGTGTCGGGTTTCTAAATTTATAAACCAAACCAAACCGGTTAAGTCTGGTTTTTTCACTTCCGGTTTTCCTTGGTTTTTTTTTTTTTTGTTTTTTTTGGGGTTTCGGGTTTTCTCCGGTAAAGTCTTCATAGCACAAAATAAATAAATTATGCTCCAAATATTTCTTTAATCCTAGTAAGATACAACTAAATAATGTATTTTCCAAGAAAATAACACAATAATATGAGATGAGTCATAGCACTGTACTAAAATATTCAATAAAAAAGATAATAAAATTGCATAAAGCAAATATTGCTAATTAATAAGTTGTAATAAAAATTAACATAATCTAAAAATACTGCATATAGGTCATGCTAAAATAAGTATAGCTAATAAGTACTTTTAATTACATAACCAAGCACTAATAAAAGCTAAACTAAGTTATGCATTTTCATTATAAACCAATGCAAAACTCAAAAAATAGATATCTAACATTAGTGTCATTCTTAGTATTGAATTGAACTTCTTTTAGCATTAGTATTGATTTGAACTTCATTTCACTAATTTTTATGAGTTACAAAATTTATTTACCATTCAAGAATGTTAAGTCCAAACTTGAAAAATAATACGTTAAAAAATAAAACTGTAAAAAAATTAAGAAATATTTATAAATTATATTAAATATTTATATGTATAAAATATTTTTTGAAAATTGTATAAATATAGTATCAGTTGGTTTGGATTCGGTTTAATTTTTTTAGTTGAAATCAAACCAATTACGGTTGGGTTTTTTTTTTCCAATACCAAACCAAATCACAATCGGGTTTTTTTTTTTCCGATTTTACTCGGATTATTGGTTTGATACTGTTTATCGGTTTTCTTTGTACGCCCGCGTGAGATCAATAGCAATAATGTATGTGCAAAGAAGCTTCTAATTCAAGTACTTGCTGAAAAATCTAAAATTTGCTTCTTAAAATCTGCAAAAAATGTAAGCTAATGATTCTTGTACACAATCATTTTGTGGTTCTTCCTCTGGGCTCTTCTTAATTTTGTAGTCATGGAGATAGCTTATTAAACAACACGACACAGTTTCTTAAACAGGTTTACAAATTCGAATGGCAATATCAATACAACAACAATAACAACAAACCCAGTATATTCCTATCAGGTTGGGTCTTGGGAGGGTAGTCTGTACGCAAACCTTACCCCTATCTAATGTAGGTAAAGAGATTGTTTTCAATAGACTCTCGGGCTCAGGAAGGGTAAAAAGAAAAAGAGGAAAGCAAGAAAGGAAGAAAGAAGGAAGAGAAAAGAAAACGGGAGTGATAAAGGATAAGTAGTACCAAATAATAGCAACAGGGAATACAATACCTGAGGCGAACAAAACTACACAACGCAATAAAAATCTAAGAATATGAAGGGCGCATGCGTGCTACTAAGACTATCGGTGAGCAACTAAAAACTACCCACTAACCTTCTACCTTAATCCTCGACCTCCACGCTCTTCTATCAAGGGTCATGTCCTAAGTGAGCTGAAGCAGCGTCATGTCCTGTCTAATCACCTCTCCCCAGTACTTCTTAGGCCTACCTTGACCTCTTCGCAAACTCGCCATGTCCAACCTCTCACACCTCCTAACTGGAGCATAAATGCTTCTTCTCTTAACATGTCCGAACCATCTCAGCCTCGACTCCCGCATCTTGTCCTCCACAGAGGCTACTCCCACTCTGTCCCGGATAGCTTCATTCTTAATCTTATCTCTCTTGGTACACCCACACATCCATCTCAACATCCTCATCTCTGCTACTTTCATCTTCTGCACGTGGGAGTTCTTGACTGGCCAACACTCAGCCCTATACAACATAGTCGATCGAACCACCACTTTATAAAACTTACCCTTAAGTCTTGGCGGCACATTCTTATCACATAAAATACCGGAAGCGAGCCTCCATTTCATCCATCCCAATCTCGATATGATGTGCGACATCTTCGTAAATCTCCCTGTTACCTTGGATAATAGTTCCGAGATACTTAAAACTCGCTCTCTTGGGGATAACTTGAGCATCAAGCTTTACCTCGACGTCTGCTTCATGGGTACCGTCACTGAATTTGCACTCCAAGTATTCTATTTTGGTTCTACTCAATTTGAAACCTTTAGACTCCAAGGTGTGTCTCCAAACCTCCAACCTCGCATTAACTCCGCTTCGCGTCTCATCAATGAACACTATATCATCGGTAAATAGCGTGAACCAAGGCACCTCCCATTGGATGTGTCGCGACAGTACATCCATCGCCAAGGCAAATAAAAATGGGCTAAGAGCCGATCACTGGTGCAACCCCATCACCATAGGGAAATGCTCTGAGTCACCACCCACAGTCCTCACCCGAGTCCTTGCATCATCATACATATCCTTAATCACCCTAATGTACGCTACCGGAATGCCGCTAGCCTCCAAACACCTCCACATGACCTCCCTCGGGACTTTATCGCATGCTTTCTCAAGGTCAATAAACACCATATGCAAGTCCTTCTTCCTCTCACTGTACTGCTCCACTAATCTCCTTACCAGATGAATCGCTTCCGTAGTCGAATGCCTCAGCATGAATCCAAACTGATTCTCGAAAATAGACACGCACCTCTTTACCCTGGCCTCAACCACCCTCTCCCAAACCTTCATAGTGTGACTCAACAGCTTGATACCCCTATAATTGTTGCAATTTTAGATATCACTCTTGTTCTTGTAAAGCGGAACCATCGTACTCTACCTCCATTCTTCGAGAATCTTCTTTGTATTAAAAATAACATTCAACATCCCAGTGAGCCACTCGAAGCCTGATCGCCCCGCGCTCTTCCAGAATTCCACCGGGATTTCGTTTGGCCCCGCCGCTCTGCCCCTGCACATCTTACGCATCGCCTCTTCCACCTCTTCTACCGTTATCCGTCTACAGTACCCAAAATCCCGCCGACTCTCGGAGTGCTCCAACTCGCCTAGCACAATGCGTCTATCCCCCTCCTCGTTCAACAGTTTATGGAAGTATGTCTGCCATTTTCTCCTAATAAGTGCCTCGTCCATCAATACTTTTCCATCCTCGTCCTTGATGCACTTGACTTGGTCTAAGTCACGGGCCTTCCTCTCCCTCACCTTGGCCAACCGGTACAACTTCTTGTCCCCGCCTTTGCCCCCAAGCTCCTCGTACAAACAAGCAAACGCCGCATTTTTAGCCGCTGTAACTGCTAACTTTGCCTCTTTCTTTGCCTTTCTGTAACACTCCCGATAAGTCCTTTTTTCCTCCTCGTTTGTACTCTCCACTAGCTTCATATAAGCAGCTTTCTTAGTTTCTACTTTACATTGGACCTTTCCATTCCACCATAAGTCCCCTTTATGACTCCAGGAGAACCCTTCGTGACCCCTAAGACCTCTCTAGCAGCTACCCTAATGCAATTCGCAATCGTGAACCACATGCTAGACGCGCCTCCTGCTCATCCAGACCTTCATAGCCAACAACTTCTCCCCTAACTCCTGAGCTTTGTCCTCGGTCAAGTTACCCTACTTGATCTTAGGCTGCCCGCACACCGCCCTCTTTCTCCTACTCCTCTTGATTTCCAGGTCCATAACTAGGAGCCTATGTAGGTTCGTGAGGTGCTCACTTGGGATGACCTTAAAATCAGTGCACAGACCTTTATCGCATCTCCGATAGAGAAGATAATCAATCTAAGTTTTGCCCATTGAATTTCGGAAAGTGTTCAGGTGTTCCTCCCTCTTTGGGAAACTCGAGTTAGCTATAACCAAATCAAAAGCTCTAGTAAAATCCAACAGTGAATTACCTCTCTCATTCCTATCCCCAAAATCGAGCCCGCCATGCACACCATCATAACCCCTAGCACTCGCCCCAATATGGCCATTGAAATCTCCGCCAATGAACAACTTCTCTGTGTGTGGGATACTACGCACCATCTCGTCCAAATCCTCCCAGAATTGTTTCTTGACCTCCTGGACCAAACCTACCTGAGGAGCGTATGCACTAATCACGTTTACAGTAAACTCACCAACTACAAGCTTAATACGCATCAACCTTTTGTTTACCCTCCTAACCTCGACCACGAGCTACCTGAGGTCCCTGTCAACTAAAATACCTACCTCATTCTTACCCCCAACGCTTCTTGAGTACCATAGTTTAAACCCTTCTACATCCCGTGCCCTAATACCCTTCCATCTAGTCTCCTGAACACACGCTATGTTAATCTTCCTCTTCGGAAGAATCTTACCTAACTCTATAGACATCCTCGTCAACGTTCTAATGTTCCAAGACCCAACTCTCAGCCTAGAGGCTTTCTTACCCCCCTCCCCACCCTTGGACCCCACCCCCAGCCCCACCCGAGGACAAGACCTTACTCTCACATTGTTCACTACTGCCACCACTAAGAACAAGTAGCAGGAACGAAGGAGTACAAGCTAGGAATCCGAGAGCGAAAAACAACTCAAAGGCGCTACTATGAGAACGGTAACCCGAGCAGGCACTAGAACAATGAATCTACCACGTCTAAGAAACTACCCCTATGCAAACAAATAATTAAAAGGTATAGATAAAACCTTAAGCTTAAAAACTAGTAGAAAATATAGAAAAACAAGCAAATGCTGTCTACCAAAAGCAATTTTTAGATTCTCCTTTGACAATGTAAGACAAAAATAGAATGAACTGTACCTTTTTTTTCTCCCTTCTCTCAATCTAACAATTCTACATCCGAGCGGAAACGAACTATGTGTCAACACTTTGGGTGTGTTTGGTACGAAAGAAAATATTCATGTTTTTCAATTTTTTGGTTGGCTTAAACATATTTCTTATGAACTCATTTTCTTCCAATTAGAGGAAAAAGTTTTCCCTATCAAGAGAAGGAAAAATATTTTTCAAAACTCTTTTTCAACCTTCCCAACCTTATTCTCCATCCCCCAACCCCCACCATCCTACCTCCACACCCCATACCCCACACCTCCACCCACCCACCCCCACCCCACCCCCACCCTAAATAGAAAACGTTTGGTATTTTGGGAGGGGGAATGCACATGAACATTGGATTTGGGGGAAGGGGGTGAAGAAAGTAGCATAAAAAATTATTTTCGTAAAAAATATCTTTTACTCTCTAACCAAACACTAGTAAATATTTTTCAGAAAAAATATTTTTACTCACTAACCAAATAAGAGATTAAATGATAAGATCACTCATTTACCAGAAAAACATTTTTCATAGAAAATATTTTCCTTCGTACCAAACACACCCTTAGTGATGATATTTGAACATAGGCAAATCTTCAGATATTCTTATCCCTCCTCTCTCATTTTCTTTCTATCTTATTATGTAATTCCTATTTTATTCCTCATAAAATGAACTCTAATTTAGTTTTGCAAAGAAATAAATAGTTTGAGGGGCAAATCACAAAAAAATAAAATAAGAGGATAGGATGTAAATCAGAAAATAGTACATACATTAGGTGTGCAAAATGCAAAGAAGCCTACGTTCTTCCTTGTTTTAGGAGTGAGAAGTTACTAATAAATGATTCTAAAAAGTCATTAATTACTGAATGATTCTATTCATTTATTAGGTTGAATTCTGTCATTATTGATTGAGAAAATGACAGCATATAGTCATCTCTCCGTGATTTTATTTTGTGTCTCACACAACTGAAACTAATTGTGTAAGGTCTCTTTTTATTTCACATATTTGTGGACCCATATCTTACGCATTTGGGTCCACAAAATTCTAGGGCCCACACAATTGTGAGACAAAAAAAAGTCTCACACAACTAGTGTCAGTTGTGTGAGGGACAAAATAAAATTTTTCGTCATCTCCGGTACAGCGGTACCGGTACTCAATAAATTTCATTTTAATATTCGCTAAATCCTTTTGTTTACACTGTTTTCCAAGGGGTCGTTTGGTTTGAATACTGCTTATGCCGGGATAGGTTATGCCGGGATTAGTTATCCCGGTATTGTTTTTTATCCATTATTTGGTATGTTGTATTAAAAATGACAATTGCATAATTTCTAAGAAGAAGGTATAAGTTATCCCGGTTCTTATACCTCATATCAAACGACACCTTTACGGCGCAGGTAACTAAACAAAGTAAGTTAGTAACTTTTAGAATGTAATTTTGAAATGATTCTGATATGATGATGAGGTTAAATAAAGTAACTATTGTGGTTTCCTTGACTTACTCTTACTATCTATTACTAATAATCTTAGAAATAAGTATTTAAAAATGGCTAATAATCTATCCCAATTTGTGGTACCTGATGAATGACATTGTCCCAGATTTAACATAAAAGAACAATATCTGTCATAATCTAAAGTTTGTTGGAACCTCTATTCAAATTTCATCTTTATAAAAAGTTGATCAATTTAGATGTCAGTGTGCTGCTTTTTAACGTTTCTTGAGGTGCCGATATCAAATTTTTATTACCGAAAAAATGCAGCTACTTATATAACTCACAATCTGTTTCATCCATTGAAGTAGCATTTGGATGATAAAACTTTTAAAATTACTCCCTTCTGTTTATTATAAATGATTTTTGTACCTTTTTATTTTGGTCCAAAATAAGTATTCTTTACATAATCAAGAAGAAATTAATTTTATTTTTATAAATTTGCCCTTATTTACATAGCCCAATGTTTCATGTTAATAATATATAAATTTTAATTAATGATAATTTACTCAAAACACCTTTTTTTTAGGAGTTAGTATTTTTTTAAGGGGTATGGTAAGGTAAAAAACTCACTTATTGTAAATTAGACGGAATAATATTTAACTTCTATTCCAGATTCCATGGCGTACAGGGACTAGGAAATAGTGCCACCCCCACCCCACCCCCCACCCCCAATTCGTATAGCACACTTCTAAAACTATGAGGCTCTATTTGGGTATATTGACACCTCTCTTTGGCCAAGGATCCTATTTATCTATTTTCTCTCTTTTTTTTTTTTTTTGAATTTTTCTCATTCTTTCCCAATTTCATAATCTTTGTATGCTTTAAATATGTTTTTAGAGGACAATAAAGCCGTTTTTATTCTCTAATTAATTTTTACTAATTATACCTCCCACTCGTTCTCTCCTTCTACAGACGTTACATTTGTATAGAATGGGAATTGGAATATTTAAAGACCCTACTTTGTCATTGTTACATTTTAAGGTGTACATTTTAGTTTTCACTTTCTTCTTCTTTGTTTATCTTCTTCCTTTTCAATCTTTGTTTGGATTTAGTACTTTTTGTTGGAAAAATATTGGATGATTATGGAAAATAGAAGGTTTAGCTTGAGGCGTGTCAAAGACACAGTTCTTAAGGATATTTTGCCTACACCGTAATGAATAAAATTAGGCGTATGCCCCAGGATTCAACAAGCTCTTCTAGTATAAATTAGGAGCAGAAACAACAAAGATTAAATAAAAGAAAATCCAGCACAAAAGAAAAGGGAAGAAAAGTTTTAACTTTGTTCACTCTACTACTCGAAGTAACACATAGGAAAATATATATATATATATATATATATATATATATATATATATATATATATATCTTCAGATTGTAAGCAACGTTTTAAAAATTATTAAATGTCATTCAAAGGCTATTGAAATGTGTAACGACCCGGCCGGTCATTTTTGGAATTTACGCCCCGTCCCCTATTAACTGTTTTCCCCGGGGGACTCAGGATGATTTCGGATGGTTGACGGGAAGGTCGAAGAAGTGTTGCAGTAACTGCAGTATTGCTGCTTCTGGTATTTTCGCATCTGCGGCTTGGGAACCGCAGATGCGGCGCCGCAGAAGCGGCTTTGGGTCATTCCTTCAGAAACCGCAGATGCGGTGTGAGGCCCACAAAAGCGAAACCGCAGGAGCAGTTAGATGTCCGCAGATGCGGAAGCTGGTCACTTAAGGGAAAGTCGCAGATGCGACACTTGTTCCGCAGAAGCGGGACCGCAGATGCGGTCCCAGGGCCGCAAATGCGGAAGTAGCTGGGCAGAACATATAAATAGTTGCCTTTGCGAAAATTGGCTATTCTTCCACCATTTTCATCCGGGTTTGAAGCTTTTGAGAGGGGTTTTTGAGGAAATCAAAGGGAAATCACTTGGAGGTAATGTCCTTGACTTCATAACTCGTTTTTATGTGATTAAAGACCTAATTAATGGTGAGAAATTTGGAAAAAAGGGGTAACTAGGGCTTGAGTTTAAGAGACCTTTAATTGAGGATTTGAGGGGTCATTTGGACCCCGATTTCAGTGTTCTTATTATGAATAGACTCGTGGGAGTATGAGGTTTCTGAAAATATAAATTTCACCCGATTTCGAGACGTTGGCCTGAGGGGCGTTTTGGTCGTTTTACATGATTTCGCGTATTTGCTTAGAATTTAATTATAGAATCAGTAATTTGAAGTGTTATTTACAAAATGCAACTGAATTGAATAGATTCGGGCCATTTGGAGTCGGATACTCATGGCAAAGGTGTGGTTTCGAGTTGATTTTGAGCCGGTTCGAGGTAAGTGGCTTGTCTAACCTTGTGTGGGGGACCTTCCCCCTTAGGATATGATATTTGGTAACTGAATGACTTGTACGTGAGGTGACGAGCGCGTACTTGAGCTAATTGTTGAAAATACGGTTTTACTTTAAGTATCTTAAGTGAGTTCTTTTCTTACTTGTTTTATTCTACTTGCAAACATAGCACGTGTTAGTTTAGAAAAGCATGCTTAGTTGACTTAATTGCCTATTTTCTTAAACTTCCTTGCATTACGTGAAGCATGTTAGGCTAGAATTATCTGTCTACTTGTTACGGACTTAGTATTTATTTCGATATTCTTGAGCTGCTGCTGTGTGTTTTAAATTGGGACTACGGGACGGCATCCCGGGAGATCCCCTGTGCGTATTTATGACCCGGATTGAGGTGCGGGATACCAAGAGATCCCTAGCACGTGTATTGAGAATACCAAGAGATCCTCGGGATACCAAGAGATCCTGGCATATGTATTGAGGATACCAAGAGATCCTCGGGATACCAAGAGATCCCTAGTGTGTATATTGAGCATACCAAGAGATCCCGACTATTTATCTCACTGTAAGGGGTATTTCCTTATAGTTGCCTTTATCTCTGTTTCGTTACTGCACTCTTATTTTACTGTGTAGATCCTTATTATTATAGACTCTCAGTTTTACTGCTTATTTACCCTATCATTTCATTATATATATACTTATCTCAGTGGGCCCTGACCTTCCTCGTTACTACCCGACCGAGGTTAGGCTTGG